AGAGAACGGTGAAAAAAACCAACCAAGGAGTAGTCGACTGACTGAGTGACTGGTTTTAACATAGAACTTTTCACAAATGTGTACCTGTTGACCGCTTCACTTATTTAGGGAGTTGCATCAGCCAGTGCCAACGGGTTGATCTCTGACGAAATCTCAGCATGGATACATTAGGCGAGTTTCGTATATGCCAGTTTACGCCGTCTCTGGTTTAGTAGACGTGATATCAGGCTGGCTATCGACCAAAGGGCAGGTGTACTCCTCAGCAGTCCACTCCGTCCTCCTTTGTAGCTGTCAGTGAGACATTGCCATTGACAGTGGAAGACATAAAAAGACTAGGTGTCTTTAATCATAGGTATTTCCGTTCTATCTCCCGTGTGAAGTGGTATAATAGGGTGAGCAATATTGAGGTTAGACGTCAAGTGCTAGGTAGGTGGGAGGGGAAATCAATCGACGAGACTGTGAAGTTACATCGACTGAGATGGTTAGGACATGTATTACGCATGCTAGCCTAGCCATCACCTGCCTTCCTTGATAACGGGTTATGTCAACTGACATAGGGTCAGGTTGGAAGAGAGCCAGATGGCGGTGAAACCAAAACATGGACTCATCAGTCAGTGAAATCCCCAATAGTTGGTTTAAACCAGTCACGTAGGAAGGTGTAGACTCCATAGCTGGTTGAGGTCCTCTGGACGGTAAACACCAATGGCTGGAGACAGTTGGTGATATGGCTCAAAATCGTTGTCAATGGCTGGCGCAGATGCATCCACTCCTTGAAACTTATAATATCCAATAAAACTTTATTGCTCTTCGTTATTACTATTCTTTTTCTTTAATATCTCCGTTTACTGTCTCTGTTTTCCATTTCTTTTTACTTTCTTCTCTTGCTTTGTGTGTTACATGGAGTGTGGCGACTCGAACTGCTGCACATCAATGCAAAGTTCTATGTTGAAACCAGTTAGTCAGATAGTCAGGCAAATGTGCACCACATTGAATTGGCACTCTCCTCCATGCAGCACACAAAGTAAGAAAACGGAGTAAAAAGAGGTTCAAAAGAGAGAGAGAAAGATAATAAGCACAAGTGTGAGTGAGGGAAAAAGAACAGTAATATGGAAGAACATTACTGCCTATTTTGAATAACAAGGAGCGGATCCATTCAGAACGACGCTTTTGAGCCATATCACCAACTGTCTTCAGTCATCATTGGTTTTTACCATCCCGACGACCACAAACAGGAAGTCTACACCTCCCTACGTGTCTTAGACTAATTTTTATGAATTTTATTGAATGATGTTTCGTCCTGGCTTGGAGCTCCTCATCAGTGCAGGATAGAAACTAGGACCTTAATCCGAATCCCCTCAAAAATTCTATTCTGAAGTTAAAATGAGAAGTTGGCATCGATGGGATTCCGCCATATCACAGTGGAGTAGACACTCATCAAAGGCATTCAATGAAGATAGCGTTATATCACAAATTGACAGAAGTTACAATTCAGGGATAATTGAGTTCCATACCAAGTGACTGAATTGTCAACGATATTTGGTCTTGGAACCTATGGGTCCCGTGGTTCAGTCCCCAGTAGTACTATGAGTGCAGCCCTCTGGTGAGTCCAGCACTTTCCGACTGACGTTTGTTCATTGAAGTTAACCCATATCTCTACAAAAATTCATGATCAAAATTATTTTATTAGGGGTATTGCAATTTTCAATGAACAGATTATATTGATTTAAGTCCGATCACGGACTGATATCAGTTAGTGAACTAATTAAAACCAAACAGCAAATAATGGACAGTTGTTTCGTGCAAATTTGAGACTAATCAACAGTACACAGACATCATCAGGTTTCAAACCCACGAAATTTCAGTTACAAAGTAAGCTCATAAATCATTCAGCCACTAGGACTTGACTCAGTGGCCAGCGAATGTAATCTAACTTCTATCGGATGATGTATACTTCTGGTGAGTCAAAAACAAGTGAGACGAAAAAGCTGTCTGCTACACCGTGATGGTTTTTAATTGTTCTCTAACTGATATCAATCCGTGATTAAACTTGAAAAGCAAATCAAATCCCTAAAGCCAAATGTTTTGTAGGTTTCAGTGAATTAGTTAGTGTCCTCGTTAAATAATTTATTGTAAAATTAAAGCATATGTCACTTAATGAACTATCCAAGTAGTAGTAGGCTCATATGTTTAGTGGAAAAGCTTTCTTCAGTGTCTTTTCATGTAGTAAATATATATATATATATATATAATAAAGAGAGAGGAAGATTTATTTGGACTGATTAAAACTGACGATTAAAATCTTCTCAAAGGAATGGTTATTAAACAAAGAGTACTCTTTTCGATAACCTGATCTTCATCAGGTTCTACAGTTACATAAACATTATAGTGAATGGGTGAATTAGTGTTATCAACAAAATTGATGCTGCTTAAATAACATCGAATCAATAATAATAATGATAATATTAATGTCAATGGATTACAGTTCGGTACCGCCAACATAATAATACACACACTGGATATTGGAGAAATTAGGAAGCCTGATCATACAAATTCATGAATTTATAGTCTTCACTGTACACTGGACAGGGCAGTAGTAGTGTCTGGACTTGCTTTTTCTACACAGAGAACACCGGTTGTTTCAGGTGAGTCGCGAAAGCCTCTGCTGTTTGGAGTATGCGGTATCTAGATGTTTTTGGCAACTTATGTGGCACCCAGTAGATGATTGAGAAGGATCCTTCAATACTGACTTGTGGCTGGTTTGGACCAAACGTATTAGCACAAGGATAAAGATGTTTCTCACTACACCTTCACTTAACCACACTGGTAGATGTTCCCGACCGAGTACGTAAAATCAAGTTCCTAGAGTTATGGCCAATATAAGTCGCTCTGTAAGCTTAGCTGAGTTGTTAGATACAATTAGAAGTGGCTAGTTCAGGTATTTCGACGAATTCAGATGTCCTTGTTACAAGAAAAACAGATAGTAGTATAAAGAGAAATTCGCATACGAAAAGCAGATGGACTGGATAATATACACATTTTCATAGCAAGAACCTTCAGCCATACAGTTATAGCTATCTGCTCAAAACAGGTAATTGAAGATGAAGCAAGGAAACACATAACCAGGAAAGTTGAAATGGATTATTCGCCACCCGTAAACCAGAAGCCTTTATACATACGACCGCAATTCAAGGGCAATATACCTGACGAAATAATTACGAAGTTAAGAAAATCAGTTCAAAGAACTTTTAGTGCTGGCAAACTACAATTCTTATATTCCTCAATTGAAAGATGAAGTTTTTAGCCTAGCCACTTCTGATTGTATCTAACAACTCAGCTAAGCTTACAGAGCGACTTATATTGGCCATAACTCTAGGAACTTGATTTTACGTACTCGGTCGGGAACATCTACCAGTGTGGTTAAGTGAAGGTGTAGTGAGAAACATCTTTATCCTTGTGCTAATACGTTTGGTCCAAACCAGCCACAAGTCAGTATTGAAGGATCCTTCTCAATCATCTACTGGGTGCCACATAAGTTGCCAAAAACATCTAGATACCGCATACTCCAAACAGCAGAGGCTTTCGCGACTCACCTGAAACAACCGGTGTTCTCTGTGTAGAAAAAGCAAGTCCAGACACTACTACTGCCCTGTCCAGTGTACAGTGAAGACTATAAATTCATGAATTTGTATGATCAGGCTTCCTAATTTCTCCAATATCCAGTGTGTGTATTATTATGTTGGCGGTACCGAACTGTAATCCATTGACATTAATATTATCATTATTATTATTGATTCGATGTTATTTAAGCAACATCAATTTTGTTGATAACACTAATTCACCCATTCACTATAATGTTTATGTAACTGTAGAACCTGATGAAGATCAGGTTATCGAAAAGAGTACTCTTTGTTTAATAACCATTCCTCTGAGAAGATTTATCTCTCAAACAAAAGGATTTCTAAGTGCTGGTTTGTTGGGATTTGATTGGTTATAGGATTTCATTATGAGCCACAGGATCGGGTCCCAGTAACTTAATGGTCTACGAGCTCGCCTTGTAACCAGAAGGTCCTCGGTTCGAACCACGGTGAGTGCGTACTGATGAAGAGTCCCAAACTAGTCGGAAGAAACAGCTGCCCAGTACTCCCAGGCTTTCCAATGGTTCTCTAACGAATGTCAGCTCATATTGAAATCCTGTAACCAAAGGGATTTCATCACAGAAGACATAATCAATGTTTACAATTGGATTCGTTCATTTGTTACTAGTCTTTCGAATCTTCGAGCATTTGATTGTATTAACTAGCTCACAAAATCAATTTAAGAGTTATCTTACATAAGGGGATTTGGAATTGTTTGAGGGTGATGTATTGTGTTCCCCAGGAGTGGAATACTGTTCTCAATTATAATGTTGTAAATGGAGAGCGTTCTTGAACAGGCAGTATAGATGAGGATGTCAGTAGCAGTCAACCTTTTACTATTCTGAAATCAGTGTGGCAGTCTCCTCTACCCAGCGTCCTAACACTAATGTCAATTCAACGATTCTCTATAGTTCAAAGACAAGGTTCACGCGCCTCACTGAAAGCATCTTCAAAAGGTTGCAGATTTTACTGACTCGAAACTCAAGGATCAGATAGTTGAACAAGATTAGCAACAAGGAAGTCAGAGATGGGACAAATCAACCAAGAACTAACTGCTCAATAAATATGGATCGTACACACGCTGACATTACGTGCCAGGTACATCATAGAATGGATCTCTGCATGGGAAACGATGAGTTGAGTGTACATCGAAGGGTAACCTGAAGAAGCTGGAGCCAGTTAAAACGAACTATAGAGAGCACAATGACATGGAAATGTACTTTTGAAGCTCTATGTTCCATCCAGAATCCAAAGGAACAGTAATATTAATAATAATAATCTTTTCAAGTCTAGACACTGACACAAATATACACATATTATACACTAAACTAGAGACAATGTACAGTAATAAAAATATAAACTAACTGAATAGAAAACATCTTTTTTGTGTCCTTCAAGAACAAAATTCTTTGCACCACCAATAACTGATATACACAAGTTTGGCTTTTCTGGTTCCAGCATTCTCCAATAATCTTTGATCAGCAACATAACATCTTCCAGTCTATCTTCATCTGATATCCGAACAAACTAGTATGAAGGGAGAGCGAAAAGAAACGACAACAAATTTAACAGTAGTGTAGATAAACACAGATGAGTTAGTCAGCTATTGGTTATATAGGGGATTTTTGTTTGATTGCATGGAGGATTTCATCATGAGCTGATATCAGTTAGAGAACCACTGGAAAACCTGTTAGTACTGGACAGCTGTTTCGTCAGCCTAGTTCGGGATCGGGTTCCAGAGGCTCAATCATCTACAAGCTCGCCTTGTAACCAGAAGGTCCTGGGTTCGAACATGAGTGGTGGTTGCGTACTGCTGAAGAGCCCCAAACTGGGACGAAACGGCTTTACAGTACTCCTAGGTTTTCCGAACAAACTAATATAAAGACAGCAAAAAGAAACGACAGCAAATTTAACAGTAGTGTAGATAAACACAGATGAGTTATAGAGAAAATATGCATTCAGACATCTATAAAACAACAAAATAATTGAGCTAAGAATATCCTTTTCGATAATTTCCTCTTCTGGCTCTACAACTATATATATATATACGTTTATATACATAGAATATTCTAGAATAGTAGTCCATAACAATATTAGTGTTTTTTAAATAATATCGATTTGTAAAGTAAGATCACAATGGAATTATCACAGTTCATTAAAGAACAGAACCTGGCTTCGCGAGGTATAGGAGTGCGTTGACAAGGTATCGAACCGCGGACCACGTGCATGGTCAGCGAGCATCCTACTGCTGTGCAACCGATGCATATGAACTGTATAGCTGCTTAATGGCACCGTTGAGGTTATTTTGAGTTTTGGATACTATTATTTTTTTTAATACAACCTCAGAATCATTCCAGAATATTCGTCTTTTTGGTGTCTTTGGGGGGGTTTTGTGACTGCTTGTGTCTCAGAGAAGTTTCACTCAGTTTCACTATACAGTAGAACGCAGTGATCAGTTTCTTGGTGCTCAGACCATAATGATGAGTCGATTTTTATTGTAGCAAGAAGTAGATTCTTAGTAAAATCTCAAAAAGAACAGTTTGACTTTATGAAGTCAACGCGTAAAAGAGAGTTCGTGAATATTCATGTCGTCACTACTACAGCAAATGCATGACACACGTTTAATCCTACTGTTTATTCAACTCAAGAAGCTGAATGTCACAACTACCTCAATAAAGCACATCAACTCAGTATATATTTTTACTGCTTTTCAGTTAATTTCAGTTAAAAAAGAAACCAATGTCGTTGACTTCAGATTATAGTTGATTACAGTTGAATAAAAAAATTAACTTTTGAAATTCTATTAAGTCACCTGTATGCTATGCAGTTGAAAGGTAATCGGTAGAAAACCCTGAACCTCGGTATTTGTCAGCAAAGAGGTTCTGTTGTGGTGAGAGCAGGCTGCTAGCCGATTGGTCGACATTAATCTACGTCAATGTCTAGGTCACTAATATTGGCCATGAGAAAATATGAACAAGGCTGATTCAACAACCAATCACAGCAGACTTAAACGTCGGCAAATATGATTCGCAGATAGATGGCTCTACTTTCCGAGAAACTCGAAAACAACCAATCAGAAGAGTGCGTTTCTCTGCTTAACTTCCGAGAAACAACCAATCAGAAGACTGCGTTTGTCTACTTGAATAAGCTCTAATAATGTACATAAAATACATATAAATACGTGCTGATTTCCGTAATAAAACGATCTATTGCCAGCCCTTGTCTTCTGTTGTTACACTGTAACCTTCAAGTAACCCATTTCCACTTGAGGATTCACACCCACCTCACCTAATGCTGATACAGTCAGAGACCTTACTACAGAGATACATACCTTAAGCACGAGACCTATGTCTGTGGCCTCCTATCAGTCACGTAGCATCACATAACATTATAAACTTGACTGAGAGAATTCAACCAGTGCTAATACATATCATTCCTTGCTGCATAATGGCCAGGATACTTTTAGATATCCAGGCGACAGATATCGCGAATTTACAAACTTATAGATTGAAAACAAAAACTTAGAACATTATGGGCACCAAGAGATGTATCACACGTATGAAATTGTTGTATAATAGTTTGTGATAGCCAACGATACTCCCCGGGGCGCCCAGATAGAAGCAGATGATTTTGCTAGGGGACGAGCCTCGTGGCTTTTTGACTTGAAGTCTGATCCATAAGGCAGTGGAGCAGAGTCAGGGAGTTACTTTCCCGTAGTTGCCAGTGATCAAAACAGGATCATACGCCAATAGATCCTTTGTCATCCTTGAACCAATGTACCCCATAGGTTTGGAATCAGGTTTTCTAGCCCCTATAGGATAGATTTGCATATCTACCACTCCGGTTTTAAATGTCAGATGTTTACATTCTTCCTCTCATATTTATGAGGAACACTCTTTTCATGTGAAGGCAGTGAATAGAACTTCCCTGGTGGGGGCTACGATATAAAATTAAAGGATAAAAATTAATGGAGTTTGAAAGTTATGTGGGTGGGTGGCACGATATAGTCATGTGAGCAATAAATTAAATAAATGAATTGTGCTCCAAAACATTATCAAGTTTATATCACGGCATCACTGTTTGTTTTTATCAAATAATTATAATCTATGATGGGGTTAGTGAGTCGTCGGTTCAGCGGTAGATTGCTGGCCAATCATCCACGTGGTCCATGGTTCGAGTCCCAACCGGCGCAAACCTTTACCTCCCTTTGGTTGGTTATAACCCGCACAGTGGTTAGGACTCTCGCCGATCATGCACATGGTCCGGGGTTCGAGCCCGCACCGACGCACACCTGATATCTATGGTCGGCCTGCAAAATTTGGGCTACCGCCATCCATGCTGAAAATTCCATACTTGTACCGAAAATACAGTGTGGAATCAAGCTGTAAATAAAAAAATAAAAAAAAATAGGGAAGGTTGGGCATGAGGCTAGCAACCGCCACCACCCCGTAAAAAACGAAAAACACCACTGCTGCTGAAAATTCAAAGCTCAAGCTTGATGCTCTACTTTCCCCTCAGAATAAGAAAGATGAAATTAAAACTTAGATCTCATTGGAATTCCAAATCAATGGCATCTAGATACCCTGTGGTAGAGAACAAACCTAATACCTTGGATAGATTGATTTACGCATTTTAATGAGATAGAAGCTCAATGGTAAAATTGATGAATACGCAAATAAATAAATAAGTGAACCCTAGTGGGTGCGTACTGCTAAAGAGTCCAAAACTAGTCGGACGAAACAGCTGTCCAGTACTCCCTGCATGCTTTTCAGTGGTTCTCTAACCAATCAAACAAAATCCCTACAAAAACCAACAGTTGAACTTTAAAACTATTTACGACATTATAATCATTCAGTTGTAAAACCAAAATAATAATAACAACAACAAAGATACCTCTACAGGTTTTTGAGTTAACGAATCTGAAAATTCAATTTGACCGAAAGCATTTGTTGGTCTAAATGTTTTTATATCTTCTGATTCTGACCATTTATCAGCTTCACTTTCGACGCCAATTGAACCTATAGAGATTTTGAATTTGGTTGCATCATCAGTTAACTTCATTCAAAACATACTTTTATAATGTTTAGATTCAAGTTCTCCACAATAACAGCTAAAATATATATATATTTTTAAAAAGGAACGAATTAGTGAAGGTTTAAGAAATTACCGGAAATCACTATCAGATCCTTGGTCTTTACTCAGATCATGTACAAATTTTATGCATTCTTTATACCTGAATCTGTCTAAAATAAATTTATGCTTTGCCTAAATAAAAAAAAGCAAAGAAAAGAAAAATTATTATTTTGGAGTTTTATTTTGTTTTGAAAAATCAAATTTTCTGAAACATACATCTTTAAAACTTTGTTGTTTCCTTGGTTGCAAGATGAGACCTTGGAAGGCTGTCTTCGCTCGTATCACCGGCATGAAACTCGTGTCTTTGACTAGAAGAATTAAAATTCAAGGGAGTGAAAATTATAAGTACTTGTATGCAGAAGATAATGAATGACTTGGAGTTTTTTAAATAATTATAAATATAATGAGATAAAAAGGAGTCTTCGCAGACTTGTATATATACACATTACTAATAACAGTAATAACGATTTGCACAAAAAGGTATTTATACTATATATCATGGAGTTCTCAACATTTGGTACAGTAATATATCTGTATGTTTGTGGCACAACGGCAGAATGCTCCCGAACCACGCTGGTTCGGGATTTAATCCCCGGCCGACGCACTCCTGAGCAATAATTAGATTAGATGTCGAGTGCTAGGTAAAGAAGTTACATCGCCTGAGATGGTTAGGAAATGTATTACACATGCTAGCCTAGACATCGCCTGCCTTCCTCGATAACGGGCAATTTCAGCTGACAGAGGGTCAGGTTGGAAGAGATCCGGTAGTGGTGAAACCAAAACATGGCTTCATCAGTCAATGAAATCCACAACAGTTAGTTTAAGCCAGCCACGTATTGATGTGTAGACTGATGTCTAGTTAGAGCCCTCGGGATGGCAAAAACCATAGGAGGCTGGAGACAATTGGTGTTATGGCTCAGAATCCTTCTCAGTGGCTGGCACAGATGCACTCACTCCTTGTAACTTATCCGATAAAATTCACTTGTTGTTCTATATACTATTTTTGCCTCACATCTCTGTTTACTGTCTCTATTTGCGATTCTTTTTACTTTCTTCAATTGCTTTGTGTGCTAAGTGAAGTATGGCGACTCGAACTGCCGCAATTTGGTACTAAGTTCTACATTGATGAAACCAGTCAGTCAATCACTCCTGTACCTTGCTAAGTCAGCAAAAACAAATACTGGTAAAGAGGGAAGGTTGGACATGAGGCTACCAACCCCATCCCGTAAAAATCAATAAATACCACTGCTACCCAAACTTCAAAGATCTAGCTTGAAGGTGTCCTATGTTCCACTGAGTACGTTAAAATGCATCTAATTCATACAACAACAACAACAGCAAAAACCAGCAATCAAAGCGCAATTGATAATAGCGACTTCTTGGTATTAGGAGTGACAATAAAGTCAAAAATGTACAAAACGTGTAATATGTTAATAATCGTAATAATGTTAATAAGTAAAATTATAAGGGAATTGAAATCATGTCACCATAAGTTACAAATAGGCGATGAGGGAGTCGTTTATTTTGTCAACTTCACAGTAAGTTGTAAGTTTCAATTTTAACATTTGCTCTCTCATATAGAAAGCGGTCCAAATAGATCAACGTGGCGTTTTTGTACTTGTTTGTGTTGATAAGCATAAAGTCTTCTCTAGTAACCTCTAAACCTGCATGAGAAGAATGCTAAAAGTCAGATAATACGGATTTGGCCCATTGCTTTCATAAATTCAGGTATCAGTCGACTACAGTAGTAACAAGCTGACATAGTGAAATACTACTTGGCCTACTGACGACGTTCACTACCCTTCACCGTATGATATACTCCTTTTTGAATAGCCCAGAAAAGTCTTAGGGTTAATAATAACGAATAATAAGTAGGATGCATATATAGCACACAGAGAAAGGGAAGACAGTAGAGAGAGATTCAAAAAGATATAATAAACAACGCTTTGAGGGAAAAAGAAGAGTAATATGGAAAAACAATAGAATTTTATTGGATAAGTCACAAGGAGTGCATTCATCTCCACCAGCCATTGACAACGATTTTGAGCCATATCACCAATTGTCTCCAGACTTCATTAGTTTTTACAGTCCCGAGAACCCAATCAGACAGCAATCTACACATTCATATATGACTTAAACTAACTACGAACGATTTCATTGACTGATGAAGCCATGGTTTGGTTTGGTCACCACTTGTTAGCTCTTCTCTAGCCTGATCTATCCCATGTCAGCTGACATTAATCGTTCTTGAGGAAGGCAGCCGATGGCTAGGCTAGCATACGTAACATATGTTCTAACCATCTGAGTTAATCGGTGTAATTTCACAACCTTGTCTAATGACTACCCTTCTTTACCTACCACTCGACCGCCACTTTACCTCAATATTGTTCACCCTATTATACCACTTCACATTGGAGATACAATGGAGACACCTATGACCAAAGACACCTACTCTTTCCATGTCTTCCACTTTCAATGACCATAAGTTTTTCTTAACAGCAAATTAAACTATGCAATATATATACGAATAGCAAAATAATAGGAAGCAGACTCAAAGCCAGTAGTGAGTAAAAAGCATGCATGTAGTTTCTACTCTAACTGCTTTAAGTAGGAGATGAGAAAGTCGGTTACAATGACTTTCACTAAAAAAAATAAAACCAAAGCCCAGGCTACAGCGACATGGAAAAAAATATGGAGGAGAACGATAATCTTCACACAACTAGTTCCCTCGACAAATTTTATTAATGCATTAGGAACAAATGTTACATGATGAGGAGAATCCGATTCATTTCATAGGATTTTTGTTAGCTGCCCAGACACTTGGACAAACAATAAAATCTCTTTCGAACTCCAACTATTCACGACTAAATTGTGAAGCCTAAACATGTCTCCAAGCAACTTACATAGATATTAAGAAGGATTTCGACTCCGTTAGTAGATAGGTCCTAAGTCACTATCTTTATCCAGAATACGTAATATTTCACCAAACTTCCTCAACAAAGGTTTTGCACTATGGCATAGATTCTGACATCAGAAATGACAATGAACTGACCTCACTAGCGACATCAAAAATACCTACTTTATCCACATATGAAGGTAAAGAATAAGCAATAAGTTTAGGAGACCAAACAGAGTAAGAACATATGCACCGTTCGGAATAACTACCAGCCATGTCACTAGCAGTCTGAAGCTATTTATTACTAGCGTTTCGATGACCTCAAATAAAACCAAATCGTGACGGACCACCTTGTTACAAATAATATAATCCTAATGAAAGAAAGTAGTGACAGGATGCATTATTTTGGTACTGAAATAGCAACTGAGAAGGAAGGTTGAAGCACATTTCAATGGTAGATGGAATACATCTATTTCACACAAACAGGAAGATATGTTCACGCTGTCAAACACCTGTACGTTGACAGTTCTCATTTGTGCTTAGGCCTGCCACATTTTATTAACTCCCCAACTGTTTAGTGACTACAGGAAAACTTCTAAGCACATAACTACAACTAAATTTAAAATTAAGACGGAAAAGGATGAACCATATTTTGATCACTTAAGTTCATTATCTACACGATACTGGGGATATCATATTACTACCTTAAGATGTACTTAGGAATATGCAGGTTAGTTGGAACATTTCAAATTTACCTTTAATAAGTGTGAAGAAAATCAGAGTTTTGAACAATTGTGGTTTGCATACCACTGACTAGTAACAGTTAACACTTTCAAAATATTTATGTGAGTGTTCTCACGCATGAATAAAGGATACAACTAAGACGAGCGATTTAGGATAGACGCTTTCCTACAGCACGTATTGAGAAAGGATAGAGAACATTTTTCTAACTAGTACTTTTCAGAGTACCATGGTGAGCGACTGAGTCGGTTCAAATATGAATCCTTAAAAGGCGAGCACTGTAGACCACTGAAACCTCCTAAGAACAATCTTGTTCATTAGCCTAAACTAAAGGAAAAATATAAAGTTTGGTTTAAAATTAAAAATGCTAAATAAGAATATATAGAGGACATATTAATCGTTTTTCACAATCTCTCCATACACACTAATTTAGAATCGGTTATAAATGTTAACGTATTATCGCGGGAAACGAATACAAGAGTTTATGAATGAATGGTAAAAATTATGCTTTATACAATTGACACTGAAGTGTCAACATGATCTTGGCTTATGAACTCTCCTGTAGAAAACACCAATAATTTACAATAAAGTGGAAAATCAGTAAAAGTTGAATTTTATGAAATTGATCTGAAAATTCTTCAGAACTTCTACTGTGTTGTCACCATATAATTCACATTCTGTCTAGTTACATTAACGGTGTGAATTAAACATAAATATCAAAAGTGATGAGAATGATGAGGATTATATAACTTAAATCGCTGTTATTATTTCTACTTTGTAATTTTAGACGATGGACACAAAAAGGTTATTCATTTAAACGGAAATAAATAATTCAGTAAATATGTAGTTTACTTGTTTTAGATGAAGACTGGTTGCCTCCACAAGCAATATGACAACTCATTGCCTGTGAGCATAACATATTTGACTCGTTATTAGGATTTAGCTGACTCTGACTACCAAGATCATCAGAAACCTCGTGATACATAGTAAAAAAATCAAATAGTGTTCATGTTTCAGGCCGTATGTAGGTCATATTTCAATTCTCAATGTATATCCCGATTTTCGCTGGGGTTAGAAGACCTTGAGTCTGTCAGTCCTTTTGTATTAAGTATCTGTGGTTGTGCATTCCTTTCCTAAATAAGTCGACTGAAGGAGCAAACTGTACTAATTCTTGAGTCGGTTTCTGGATCTAATGACTTGAAGAAAACTATTACTCCAAAGCGACATCCAATATCCAATATCCAATATCCTGATGACGAGCTAGTATAAACCAGTGATTTCTTTGAGCTCGCTTCTTGATTGTGAGGTAGAGGTTCCAGATCTTCGGTGAGCTTCTGTGTAGTAAGTCCCGACACTCGACTGCTTTAGCTCTGGTAGACTCCAGGAGGAGTGGTGCGGGGATTGGTCGAGATGTGGTTTGTAGTATGCAGTATGTTAGGACTGTATTGCTGCCGTGAATGGAGTTTGACCTAACTCCCCTTGGTCATTCGGTGTAGTCATAAAAGCAGAATAGCAATAATAATAATAATAGGTTGTAGTGTAGATAATATAGGTTGAGATAAGTGGAATAATAAAGGTGACATAAGGAAAAGACAGAGTGAGAGAAGGCAGAATAGGTCGTGGGGATTTAGTTAGTACGCTTATTCATTGACATTTTGGTTTCAAATTTTATGAGGATAAGCCATTGAGACACAAACCTTGCATTTCTGCATGATTGTCTAGCTTCCGCTTAAAAATCTCCACAGATGGCGCTGTAGTCACGGCCGCCGGTAAAGCGTTCCAGAGACGGCAAACACGAAGCGAAAAGAAATGTGATCGCACTCGAGTCTTTTGTCTCTGGTGTGCTATCCTTAGCGGGTTACCTCGTGGAAGCCTATAATCGCTTAATGGCAGGATGCTTTTATTTGGGTGGGCCTGGTCATTTAGGATCTTGTAGACGGTGATGAGGTCTCCCCTGTGCCTACGGTAACTGAGTGTGAAAAGACCCAATTTCTTTAGTCTTTCCTCATATGATTTGTTGCGGAGGCCGATCACCCATTTTGTCGCTCGTCTCTGGACACTTTCTAGAATGTTAGCATCCCTTTTGAGTAGCGGAGGTGCAATGATATTATGCACCTCAAGGTGTGGCCTCACATATGCCTTGTATAGCCTTAAGAACAGTTCGGGAGTGAGAGCTCCCAGCTGCCTGTGCATAAAGTGTAATGTTGCGTAGGCTTTGGCGACATGATTTTTCCCCGTTTCCGAATTCTCGTTGGACATCTCTTGAAATTTTCCTGCCTTGTGGAGAGAAGAAGAGAAGGAAGATCAGGCTAATAGACATATTTTAAAGCTCTGAACACGGAGATTATATATTCAATCTGTCTACGGTATCCAATATCCAGTATCGTTTCTACGAGCTAGTATAAACCAATTTGGTTTCTTTGTGCTCGCTTCTTGATTGTAAGGTATAGGTTCCTGATCTTCAGTAAGCTTCTGTATAGCTTGTCCCGCCACTCGACTGTCGTTGCTTTGGTTGACTCCAAAGGGAGTAGTGCTGGGATTAATTATATGTGATTTGTAGTATGAGGTATGTTAAGACTGTTACTACTGTGAATGGAGTTGATCATTTCGCCAGTTAGTCCTTTGGTATCGCCGACAAGAGAAAAGAGGTGATAATAATAATAGATATAGTTACTGAAGTTATATATATATCGGTAATAATAATAGTAATAATAATTATAATATTACTAAGTTGTCAGGAGAGTAAGATGGGAGAGAATGTAAAGAAGTAAAATGACGAGTTTAATTGTCTATCCCTGAATGGTGTATGCGATTTTAAGGGATAGGCCATTTGGATGCAGTCCTTATATCGCTGCATGGTTGTCCAGCCTTCGCTTAAAGGCGTCCAAAGACGGTGCCATAGCTACATCTGCCGGTAAGTAATTCCAGGGATGGCAAACCCGCAGTGAGAAGAAGTGGGAGCGCGCCCGGGTCCTTGCCCTCTGGTGAGCTATCCTTCTGGGAATTCCAAATGGGAGCCTGTACCTACTCAATGGCAGAACACCTTTGTTTGGGTGATTCTAGTCATTTGTTATTTTGTAGGCAGTAATCAAATCCCTCTAAGCCGGCGGTAGCTAAGTGTGAACAGGCCTAATTTCTTCAGCCTTTCATTATATGGTTTATTTTGGAGACCAACCACTCCTTTTGTTGCCCGTCGTTGGACTCTTTCCAATGGGTTGGTGTCTCTTCTAAGCATCGGGGGTGCAATAATATTATGCACCTCAAGGTGTGGCCTGACGTATGTTTTGTACAACCTTAGAAACAGCTTGGGAATGAGTGCACCTAACGGTTTATGTGTAAAGTGGATGACCGCATATGGCCTCGCTACATCCCCCGTGTAATTTACGCTTGTGTCCATTTTTTCCGTTAGAACTAGACCTAAGTCGCGTTCCGACGTTGTGCAGGACAAGCTTTCATTGCACAGGGTGTAACTTGCATTCTGCTGTCTACAGGTGCGCAACTTCACTACTTCGCACTTTTTCAAGTTGAAAGTCATGCCACTGGCCACCGCCCAGTCTTCCAGAAGGTTTAGATCTTCCTGTAGCATATCTGAGTCCTCCGGACACTATATCGCCCTCCATATCTTGACGTCGTCAGCGTGTAGAAGAGTCGGGCAGCTTAAAAGGCATGATAGATCATTGATAAAAATCAAAAACATCAATGGCCCTAGGATGGACCCCTGCGACACTCCTAATGACGAGCTGTACCAAGATGATCGAACTCGACTGGCCTTAGTGCAAAATTGCCTTTCACCTAGGCAGTCCTTTAATCATGACAGAAGTGGCTCACCTTTACCTGCCTGGCTTATTTTATGTAGGAGAAGGTCATGGTGAACAGTGTCAAATGCCTTCTCAAAGTCTAGGAAGACCACATGGACTGGTACATTCATATCCCAGCATGATGTCCAGTCGTCCCAAGCTGACAGTAGGTTAGTAACGCAGGATCTACCTTTTCTGAAACCATGTTGGGCTTCATGTAGTATATTAGTCCTATCGAAATATCCCCTGATGTGGTCGTCAATAATACTTTCCAGTACTTTTGATACCACTGGGAGTAGAGCTACTGGTCTATAACTAGTAGCGTTTTGCTTGTCCACACCTTTGAAGATAGGAGAAAGGATAGCTCTTTTCCACTCCCTTGGCAGTGTCCCCGAATCCATTGAGTGTTGGAAGAAGTCGCACAGGGGTCTACAGAGAGCTTCGGCGCACTGTTTCAGAACAGATGGCCTGATGTCGTCACAACCTGGGGACTTCCCAGGTGTGAGTCGCTGCAGCTTCCTTAGTACTATTGTGAGGTTTATTTGGGGAGTAGCCGCTAGGTCTTCCTCCTTTGAAATAGTGGTGCCACCATTTTGATCCGTAACTGTAATATCCACATTGCTGTTTAGCTGTTTAGCGAAGGCTGAACTGAATGTTTCAGCTCTCTCCAGACTAGTGAGATATTGACCGTTTGGGCCCACTAAGGCGCATGCCGCCTGGTTTGTCGGTTTTCTTTCCGACATGAATTGGTACAAGTTTTTGTGGTTTGCTAGGGGTTTTTTAGCAAAGTTAGCCTGGAATGACCTCCTGTCCCTCCTGACTCTTGCATTACACCGGTTCCTGAGTTCGAGGTATGCATCGTTGTCGGTCTGACTCTTAGATACACGCCACGTAAACTAGGCCCTCCGCTTTGCTTGCAGAATACGTTGCGTGCCTCTCTTCAACCATGACGTATTTCTCTTGGGCTGTGTTGTGACTAAAGGGACGGTATCCGAGGTTGCGGTATGAATAATCTTCTTTACCACTTCCCAGTGTTCATCCACAGATAGGTCGTCCCATGCTAAGGGCCAGTCTGCGTCGGACAAGAGCCTCCGCATTTCAGCATAGTCAGCCTTGCTGTAAAACAGACATGGTCGCGTAGCATCCCATTGCAAACGCTCACGGAGAACAAGATCGAAACCTATGACCGCATGGTCACTACTTCCTGGAGGAGTCATGATCTGGACCTTTTCGACGAGTAGTTGGTCACTAGTTAGAATATAGTCTAGTTTTGATGACTTTCCACTAGGTCCCCCCCTAGTGTCGTCTCCAGCATTTTCAGTCGGTCCCGTGTTTCGGTATGATGTCATACATCTTGTAATTAATCGGTATTAACAGGAATCATACGTGTGACTATTCCATGAACTGTGTATAATGCCTGTGAGTCACCTTCTGAAAAACGACTGGATTCCTTTAAGTAGTTTGATAGTCTGGGCCTTACCAAAGACAAACATATCACTGGTGAAACCAGCAAAGACCCAAGTGGATCCGTATACATGAATTCCGGTAGAGTTTCTGAATTCTCAGGTTTCGACTTCATTATTGATCACACCGCCACACTGCTGGGAAGAATCCCTTCCTTAGACTTAACCAACTAGAGTAATATTTGACCTATTGCAGTACCTCGTGAGAGGCTAGTGTGTTGACCCAAAAACACAAACCAAAATGACTCAGCCATTTAGGGAAAGTAACTTTATGTTACTTTGGGAAAAGATTTTAAACTTCGCCTGACTAATATGGTTGAAGTAAGGACTCTGAGCATGCGCGTAATACTAGCAGGAAAGAGGAGCAGGTATTAGCATCCCGCCTTGGTCGAATGCAGAGTTGTCGAAGCAGACCTTAGAACACTTAAAGCGCTTGCAGAAGTTTATTTATTATCAGTTCGGTTCAGTCTGACTTAATTCTTTCGCCAGCAAGTTTATTTGGCTTTTGCGCGTGATTAACTCCAGCCCCACTAAATCACAGCAAAGGAAATATAAAGAAGATGCTACACTGCGAACATTTTTGGTCGAAGACCGAATGTCGAAATGATGTAAGACAAAGAGGAGATGGATATTCGCAAAATTCAGGCACATGGACTTCAAATGTCAATTTTCTATAGAATGAAGTAGGTCTGCAGTCTATCGAGCCTTTTAAATATTGCTCTTGC